ATTTTTCCGCTTCTATGACCATGCAAGGCAGTCCATGCGCGATTGAACTCTTTTTTTTTTCTTTTACTCGGACACTTTGAACTACGGATAAAAAAACTACGCGCATGTATACATAAACAATGAGATGAAATTAAGAACATATTATTCCCATTTAAAATGCACATACTACTTTTGAAATTATCGTCGATTCCATTGTTCCCGAGGCAAAAATCATTTTACTACTGGAAAACAGTGATCGAGATTTAAAAAAAGAGAACAGACTCTATACATTTTTACATAAATGTTTAATGTGCACTGATATGATCCGAACCTGGAGAGAGAGAGAGAGAGCGAGAGAGAGAGAGAGAGAGGGAGCGAGAGCTAAAAAATACCTGACAAAGAATTCAAAGTATTCAAATGGAGCAGAGAAGTAGGAGAGCAGTGAGCAAATAACATGATTTAATTGATGGCTTCCTATTTGCATATCTGAATCTACGTATTTGTTCAACGATTTATTTTTTTCTTTCGAAGAGCAATGTTCAGTTTGTTTTCCAGTAAAAACTAAGCGTCAATTTTGAAAATCATTTTCATGTATTCCATTAGGTGTGTGTTTGTGAGTTCATTTTGTTCATTTCATTAGCAAAAAAAAAACGAGATTTCAGCAGACCTTTCAAGCCGGCGGTGGAATGTAATGATTTATTTAGTCTTCGACAATTCGCTCAAACAAATTACTTTGGTATGGCGGTTATAAATGGCAAAACAATGTTTCTTTGAGTGGAATCACAAAGCGATCATTCCATTGAGCTACATGAAAAATCGTCACACCAAACACATCAAAAGAGCGACACATCAAAAGATGTGTAGTTGATAAAAAAAGAAGGTAAAATCCATGCAGAATTGAACACAAAAATCTAAGCGAGAATTTCCATGAGAATTTTGCGCCAACCAAATAAATACCATTCGCATTTATTGCGGCATTGTTGTGTTTATCGAGAAATATGCAGAGATGTGTGTGGCCTCATTTTGATATACCATACGAAAATGAAATAAAAATCAATAATCGCATCGAATCAATAAAAACTTCAATGGAATTCTTATCGTTGCTGGCGATGAATGATAGTGTTTTCAGGCTGTTTATTGAAATTTAAGTATGGGATATGTGTGCATCAAAGCCGATCATTTGAAAGGTGTGTATTTCATTGTTATTGTTACTCATGTGTTTTTGTTTTAAGTATGCAATTTCAGCGCAAGGGAAAAAAACAGCCATTTAATTGCATCATTCAATAGAATCACAATGCAACAGTGATTCCTTCACATGCATGTCGAATACGATTATGCAAGCGCAAATTTGGATGGAACGTACGTCTTTGCAGTCGTTGGTTTTGTTTTAAATTGTTCGTACTCGCTTTTTTTTCGTTGGTTGCTGTTAAATAAAGTTAATTTCATTTGTTTTTCTTTGCTTTTCATCTGGCTGAATCAACACACGGCGATTTGTTGGCTTTATGTTTGTGCGCTCGCCGTAAACTGTTGCCCAGAATGGATCAAGTCTGTCCATTATTTTCTCTCTCTCTCTCTCTCTCTCTCTCTCTCTCTCTCTCTCTTTTACCTCAAGACGGTTTTTTTCCATGTCCTTCATGCACACTGCGTTTTTTCGTTGCTTTGTACTCTGTTATTTTAATAGTTTATAAACGATGTGCTCGATTTACTGGCAAACGACGACGACGATGGCACACAATGCATCAAGCATTTTGTAATTTTATCTCCAGTCTTTTGGCTTGCTCTGGCTCTTTTTTCATACTCTTTTGCTCGCTCTCTCTCTCTCCCTCTCGCTTGCTCTCATCCTCTCTTGCTCTACCTTTTGTTTGGAGCGCGTCTGAACAAATGAACAATTCGAAAGACAAAAAAGGGCACAAGAAAAGAAACAGCAACAACGACGACGACGACGAAAAAACGCGATACACACGACAATGAAAGAGTGACGCTTGCAAAGGAATTACAAAGAAATTGCAGAAAGAAACACGCAAATGTACGGCGAAGATGGGGAAAAATCAACAAAATTAAATAAATAATAATCTTTAGCACAAAGTGAATCTTCCGTGTGTCCAGTTTGTGTGTGCGTGCGCGCGCTCGCGCTGCATTGCGAATGAGATACACTGACATCGGCAGCAGTAAAAAAAACGTAAAGAAATGTTAATATTAATCGCGCACTTCTTGTACACAAAAAAAAGCAACAACCATTAAATGCACACAATAATGGGCAGAGCGGGAGAGAGAGAGAGAGAGAGAGAGGGAATGGAGCACAACAGGAAAAAAGGCGAAATGAACGACAAAGAAATGCAGAGGCGAATAGTAAAACTGATGTAGTATCATGAGCCAAAAGACAACAGTACACGAAATGAGAGACTGCGAGCCAAACAGCACCCATAAATGTGACCGTAAAAAAGTATAAAGAATCCGGAATGGACAACACACAGCCGTATGCGACAAAACTCTATGGCAGCTGAACTCTTTCGCTTTGGATAGATTTGAACTAGTGCTTGGCACGCTATTATTATCTCTTTCCGATGTGTGTTTTTTTCTCTGCTTGTTGTCATCGATGTCGCCGCCGCCGTTTGCTCTTGTATTTATTTTCACCATACTCCTGGTGCAATTTCCACGAAGGCGCACAGCAAAACGGCATCAGAAGAACACTAAGAGAATGCAGTGAGTGTTTATGTGTGCGCGAATTTGTTTGTGTGTGCTGAACAGATATTTGCAATTATGTCTTATTACATGGCGGCGCATTTATACTGCTTTCTGATGATGGCTTCAATGCTTTGAATGGCGCAAACTGAAGACAAAAGCAACTCTTTCTCAATCATTTCGCTGCTCGTTCTCTTTTTTTTGCGTTCATTCTCATTCACTCACTCGCTAGCCTCATGCTCCGCACTGAGTAAATAAAGGAAATATTTCATCCAAGCCAAAAATATTGTGCAAAGACTATGATAGCTCCTCCGTGGACGACACCGAACATTCTTTCGTTTTTATTCTCTCGCAAAAGCCGTAAAACGAAAACACATTGACAACTACAAACTAAGAATGTACAGCTGAAGAATATTTTCCACAGCCAAGCGTGTTTTTGTGGCTTCCGTGTACGTACGGAGGTAAAAGCGAAGATAAGGCGCGCTCGTACCAAAAATGGCAGTAGTACACAGCAAACGCAACTACGACGTAGCCAAAGCCGAGCACCGAGCGAATGAAATGCAAACAAGTAACACCGATTTCATGTAAGCACATAGCAAAGCGAAGCCAAAGAAAGAAGGCATAGGCGAGCAAAAGAGACGCATGGTCGAGCAAAAAGCAAAACAGAAAATCTCTCGCACTGGATGTGCGAACGATGATAAAAAAAAAGATAAATTTCTGTGCGGTGTGCCCAAAAAATAACCACGAACGGAGAATAAAGAAAAAAAAATCATTTCTCCTTTTGTAACTCGGTTTTGAAACTTTATTTCATGTGCTTTTTTCCTCATCTCTTCCTCATGGCTTAGAATTGTGTCTGATGTTGTTCGATTTGGTTGAACTCAGTTTTTTAGACAATTTCTTGCCTTATATTTTTTCCCCATTTTCGCTTGTGTGAGTGAAACGATGCTACGGAAAAGATTCGAATGTAAAATATAGAAGAAGAAGATGAAGAAAAAAATCGAAACAGTTTATGTACGACGATAAAACGAGCGCATGTATTGCATCGAACGGGTATGAGATCAGGTCGTTCAGTATCAGTATTCACGTGAGTATGCGTGTTATTCTCGGTGTGTTGTGTGTGTGTGTGTTTTTTTTTTCTTCTTCTCAAGAATCGGCACAGTAAGAAGAAGCATTTTAAATGCTTCGTGTTCTTTTTTATCTGGTTATATTTTGTTGTTGCTTTTTCTGCTGCTGCCGTTGTTTTTCTCTCTCTTTCGTATGGCTTTGGTTTTAGTTTAGTGTTTCCAAGACGTGTTTCTGATCATCGTTTCGCTCTTTTCACTCTTCGCCAATGGACCGGATGATATGTGAATTGACTAGGTATTAGTTTGTTTCGTTTCCATACACACTTTGCTATGGTTCAATATAAGATCATGTTGTTTTTCTTCTCTTGTGTATACAAACATTCGTATTTTCTTCATCACTCATACCGTTTTTTTTTCTCTTTCGTTCTTCACTTGTCGTGTAAATGTGTTCGTAATGCCATGTAATTTCGGTGTATTAGGTGCGATGCGAGCGTAAGAGATTCATCTATTCTAGACCAATTTTGACCCAATGCAAGAGAATGAACCAAAACATAAACTGAAGACAAACACGTAACTCATACTATCAAATGCTAGTCTCTGTTAGACTTGCGGTGACCATTGCTTAGTTCAACACACACACGCACGCATATTGCTTGCCTTTTCTCTTTGTGTTTGTGTTCAAATGTTTTGTTCTTTTCGAATATTCTTCTATAAGCTGAATCTATCTCTCTTTCTCTCTATGTTTTTCTTCTATCTTCTCCAAACAAACGGTCCATATGCGAGAGAGTATTGGTTTGAATTTTATGTACACTAACGCTATTCAGTTTACATTCTAAACAAAACGCTCACATGCTCAACGACAAAACAATAATATTGTGCACAACAATGAAAGAAACGATTCGATTCTTTTGAAAACGTCAAAATGTAATCACGTACCGAAAATATTCTTTTGAACGTGTGCACATTAAAAAAAATTTCTTCTCTTTTTTTCCAACAATAAAATTTCAGTTTCTTAATGTTTGCTAGAGTACACAAAAATTTCATCAAAATGAAAGGAAGTAGAAAAACAAAATTCTGATTGAATTTCGTACAATGATTAATTCAACAATGCTAGTAACACTACAATTGATAGAATTTTTGTTTTCAGAATAATTCTGATAGAATATCCAAATGAAATCGCCAATCGATATGAAACTCTTGAAGGTTAATCATTGAACGAACGATGAACAGAAAAAAAAATTGCCACTTATCAATATGATGGTATAAATATATCACATACAGTATTGAAATTTTGTCTGCAAACACGATACTGTTGAATACTCTCGTGTGTTTCTCGGTAAAATAACACCCAACAAACGTTCTTTGTATGATTTTCCACTGTATTTAGTTCTTGATATGAGTTTTATTTTTTATTCACATTCAAAATTCAATTTGCTTCAATTTTTAACTTGCGTTCGGTTATGTCATTCATATATGAATGTTTTTTCAACAAATTTAAATTATTTGAATAATTTTACAACGCTTTTTTGTGTCAGAAATGAAATAGCAGTGCATTTGTATCAAATTTACGTTTTCGTCAATATTCTCGTTTCACTTGTGGAATTTTTTCATTCTCTATTTTTTCAACTCTTTCTTCTTCTTCTGTAAAATTCTTTTTCTGCACAATAATTTCAATTACAAAACCGGGGAAGAGATAAATGCGAATATTTAATTCATTCACCAACAACACAACACCTCTTATCCATGTTCTATGCAACACTTAACTCATTTTTTTATGCTCGAATCGAATTCACTATAGCATTCCCATTAATTTTTTTTTTCCTTATTATTTGAGTCGTTTTTATTTCTTTCGCGTTTTTTTTTTCGCTTTGTTTTGCTTGGAAATTGTTTTCCTTCCTTTTTTGCCGCTGTGTTTACATGCAACGATGACTAATAAAAAAAAAATCCGATTCACATGCAAAAACCATAAAAATTTGATTTACACATTCGTTTATTTAATAAATATTTCTTTCCATTCGTTTTGTGTATTGCCAATTGGCATTGGGTTCTCGAGCCGAATCGCTTTCTTCGGTAATAAATTATGGTTTTCCTCTTTCTTGTCCTGGTGCCGTCTTGTTGTGTGACAAAAACAAGAAAAACTCTGATTATTTGGTTTTCGCGTTTTCTGCCATGCGATTCGAAATAGTTTCGATGCTGCCTCTTATTTTAACCACAAGAAGGCGGCGGCGGCAAAAAATCAAACAATTTTGTTTGCCGAACGAAAGTCAACAAAATTCCTTTGTTCTGTGTCACAGTTTCAATACAACGGGGTTGATCGAAACAAAAAATAAATTGCATAATTTCCTATGTCACACAAAAATAAACTCATGCACAAATTCTATCGAATTGGAATGTGTCGCATGCTCACGTCAAACATTTGAAATTCACTCACTCTATGTTCAGTTTATATTCTTTGTTTCGTTCTGTTTTCTTTTTCGTATGGCAATCAATACGAGTGTTCGCAATTGAATTCACATACACACACCGTTCGTCCTTACTTTTCCAGATTTTTGGTAATCAAAAATTACGCGAGCCCGAACAAACCAACGATATACAACCGTTTCGATTGCAGACCTAACGTAAACTAAATCGACTCAAGCATTTTTACGTGAACATTAAACATCAGTCGTCTGCTGCTGTTGTTGTGGTTCTACCGTTCATTCACACGGATGTGCGTGCGATGCGAACACGCCGCAACGATGATGATGATGACGGCGACGACGGCGACGACGACGACGACGACGACCAATATGAACGTTTCGCTCAGTTCCTTTTTGTTGCATCGTCAATGCGAAGTGCTCGAAAACGCAACCGAACCACTTGCCGACTGCGCGAAAACTTATCACTGAACCGATGCGAAGCCAAATTTCAAATGCATGCGACCCAAACGGAATAGCTGGAGAGACAAAGTCAGTTCGACTGTCTCGTTGCTCCATCGCCGAAAACCGGTTTGCGTATTCTGATTTGAAGCGAAACATTGACTCTCCGTTTCATTCATGATTCTCTCATTTCCCCTGCACGAATCGAAACCACACACATGAAAATGACTATACTGGTGCGATGGGATCGGTTGCGGTGTGACGCATTCATCTATTCCGCATGTGTCATGCTGGATAATTCTCACCTTTTTGCCGATTCAGGAAAATGTTAAAGTACGCGCATGTTCAGGAATCGGCGATAGTGAGCCACACTTTAGTTGGTTTTCGAACGACTCAAACCGTATGCTAAGAACCGTATTCATTACAAGACTTCTCTCTTACATTTGAAATGCCTTCACAAGCGGGTCGGTTCCTTTTTGTTAATTTTGATAATAAGCAAATATGCGCGTTGTTGGTCAAACCCAAGTAATTTCACGACGGTCTACGACGGATTCATGTGACCCATCAGTCAATTGACCATGCTGAATAACAGTAACACAAGAGATCTCTGCAATTCTCAGTTCACCGTGTGGCAGCAACAGCAGCAGCAGCAGCCGAAAGACGCTGGATGGAAAACACAGCATTGGTGTTTGTGTGTTGTCAACAAATGTTATTTATTTCCGTAATTTTTTCCCGTGAAACACAGAAGAGCAGAGACGAAACCAAAATGTTATTACATTAACAGTAAATACTCTCGATGTATGCATATGCAAAGCCCTTTTTTTTGCTTTTTGGATCCCATATGCATTCGCCGAAACAGCATCGCTCAAATGAATAACAGGCATTCTTGAGCAAAAACTTACATTCTCCGCGCTGAATTTTCGGTGTGTTTATATGCGTAGTTTGTGTACAACTGAAAAGTTTCAAAGTCACAGTTGGCATACGCCGATATATACCGGCTCAGCATGCTGTTTTAATGGTTGTTCTTTATTGTTTTCAATCGTTTTTCTTTGTCTCGTATGTTTTGCACACAGACACTCTCTCTCTCTCTCTCTCTCTCCCTTTCTTCTTCTCTCTCACATAAACAAAAACACCAAGTACATTGTCTCAGAGTAACTTTCTTTTTCTTCACTTTGCCATCGGTATTTGCGAAGCAAATGGTGCAGTCGGTGTGCGAGTGAGTGAGTAAGTGTGTACCTCGGGAGGTGAGCATGCAAAATTTCATGTAATGTTAAAGTAAAATAAATGTAAATACATTGAAGAACGCCGCTTATACCCATGCCATTCGCCTGATCCTTGTTTACATAATTTCGCCAAAATGCGATAAAGAATGTGCTCTGACGGAGTGATAGAGAGGGCCGGGCGACTGAATCATCTCGCGCATTCAGCGATTCTGCTCTATGTATCGAGCTGGTTGGCAGAGCATGCATAAAAGTAACGATTTCATGATAAGATAGCAAACGACTGAGAGGCACAGGCATCTTTTAAAACGTCGTAAAATTCCTCGTATGAACGGCATACGACATGGAAATTAAAATGAGAAGAAAAAAAAATTGTTTGCAATCTTCTTTCTCTCTTTCCATCTCCTTCTTTTGTACTGACGACATTAATTTTGCGTATAGATGCATAATTTTAGCCAAAGATTTCGCAGAGTTTACGACTTTTGTATAAATTTAAACTGTTGATTGCCATTTCAAATCAGAAATCACATAAATTGATGTGATTAATGCACACTTTTCTCTATTCAATGCAGTAAATTAATCGGGTGATTGAATGATATATGTACGCGAAAAGTGCTGTTTTTGGTGTTTCTATGTTGCATAAAACGAGTTATTATTCGAGAAGAAAAAATATACAGGAAATCATAAACGTTTTTTACTAATTTGCTGACATTTGATTCGTGTTAATATCGTCACAACAACAACAATAAAAATAACACCACCATCAAATTATAATGTTTTGATTATTTGCACTGAAGTGCAAATTCAGCAATATATACACGTTTATTATCTAATATTCATCCGCAATTCACAGTAGATTGATTTAATTTGGTATCGTTTTGTGTTTGTATGCTGTCGTCATTTTAATGACAAATATACGAACCAAATACCAAAACCATAACTAAAGAGTCGACGCTACTCATCCAACCGTAGATTAAAATCTGTCGATCCATTCGCAATATAAATGCGGTACAATGTTGAATAGAGTCAACTGTTGCGAATGTGTGTATGTGCGGACTGTCACACGAACTTGTCGCCCTCGCAATGATGCCATTCACAACGAATCATTAATTTCCGAAAAGACAATAGTGGTATTTTGACACAATCAGGTTGCGTAAATCAAAGCAATTGTACGTAATTGATTTGTGATAAGAAACACTATGGCCGTTGGCCTCTTTGTTTTTCCAACAACACCATCGCCATCGTTGCCACCATCGCCACAACCACCACCGCGCTACTCAAAATGTGTCGTTGACGTGACGATATTGAATTTTGGTGATGCTAAAATAACAATAAATCATTTAAGATTCTATCCAGTAGGACTCCATCACGTAGCAGAGCGCTTCTCAGCCCAGTGAATTTGCATTTTCCAACTATGCCGATTGAGATTCGTATGGAGGTTTTTGATTAGCATATTGATTACATGTGAACACATACATGTACGCCCGAAATGGCACTCACAAGAAAACCACAACAGGAGATGAAATAATCTGTCAGTTTTGAAAAGAAGCGGAGAAAACAACATCAACTCAGAGTGCTCGTCACTCAAGATGTGACTAAATTAATCAAAAATATTAAATGAACTTCAGCAACCTCAAGGTGGCTCTCTCAGTCTCTCAGTGAGAGACTCTTTCACTCAACACACCGATGATTTCGCTGCATGTTGTCATCAATTGTTCATCAACTGAATTGTGCAGCACGGGAGAAAAACTGTTTATTTTACCGAAATGAAAGAAAAATAGAGGCAATAAATAGAAGGGTAAAAATGGAAAAGGCAGCAGCAAAATGTTTAGCTAATCTGCATCTTTGTTCTATTGTTGTTCATTCATTTGCAAAGGGACATGTGCTTGGTGTTGTTTGTTCTATTCGGTGACTCAATGAATTATGGAACACATGCACGAATCGAGAGAGAGAGAGAGAGAGAGAGAGTCATACAGATGGAAGTGAACAAAGTGCCGTCATAAAAAACGAAACAACAACAAAAAATTGCCCGTTTTATTTACTTTTTCATCGTTTTACATGAAAACATATCTTATCAAATTATCTAGTAAATCCGTCATTTTCAATGCTCTGCACACAATCTCGTCACCCCAAAATTAAACTGCACTGATTTAAATTTCCATTTTTTGGTGTACTTGCAATGCAGGCAATGCAGTGACTAAAAAACCGAAAACCATTGTTCAGATCACGGAACGAAATCAAAGTGAATTGAATGCGATAAGGCTGGATGCTCTCAGTGATGCTGGTTGTGTTTGAGATCCGATGATACACATACGAATTACGATTGAATGTGTTTTTAATACAATAAATTAAAGGGTTGGCTTTTAGTGGAAGATGGATTGAACACACGCTCAACGAACTCGATGCCATTCACAAAAGTGTACTCGTCGTCGTGCTGGCTTCAAAAGCCGTAGAGAGATTTTACCTCACAGTTATGTAATAACAAGGCAAGACGTCGAAGTGTATCGACTCTCGGTTTTTGCTTTTCTTCCACATCAATTGTGTTTTGCCTATATGTTGGTTGATATTAATAGTGGTCGTTTATTCTCAGTCATTGCTGCTGCTGCCGTCGTTTTCTTCGTCGTCGTTGGTGCTGTTTGTAATACAGTTCGCACACGACAACCTATCGTTGTACACAACACTGGATTTAGAGAAGAGAACAAACACGTTTCAACTGCACTAACAAACAGTATATAAACATGCATGTTTTACGTACATGCTGAGCTGAGCCGAGCTGAGCCGAGCCAAACCGGTGCTTCGCTCTCGTTCTTTTTTGCTCTGCCTCTCTATCAACGTCGATGAATATGCTGAACAGATTTCCCTCCTCGTGGTTCTTATTCTTTTTGCTTGCACCCTTTTCTCGCCTGTGAGCCTCGACTACTATTTGGATTACTTTTTTCGGTTGTTGTGATTGTAATGCTAAACAGGCAGAGGCAATGATAGTCGACAATAACAATAATAATAATGATGGAAGACA